TGGGGCGGGACTAAACGACCCTGGGGAGGTGCCGTCACGGAGAGGGCGGGGCTGAGAAGAGGTGGGAGAGGAGAAAGGGCATGGCGGCAACGTCCGGAGAGACCGGAAGAGGCCGGCCTGAGAGGAGCTGGGCCACAGGAATGAGCGACGTACCGGAAGGGATGGGACTCGAATCCAGAAGTGGTGTCGTCGGGGGGACGGGAGGGGGAGGCCTTGGTCTAGGTGCTAGTGGCTGACCACGCCCAACCTGCGCAAAGGTACCAGGGCCACGTGGGTGCATCGCTGGTCGTGGGCGGCGTAGACAGGACAGGACCACAGCTCTACAGTGTGCACCCCCACGGCTCCTACAGCCGTCTGCCCTTCACGGCCCTGGGTGAGCGCTTCTGCCCCGTCTCCACGAACCACCCCACTGTGACCCTGGCCTCATGTTTGTTCCGCGTTGGGGAGGCCGCGGCTCACTTTAGATGCCCCTTTTGCCCACAGGCTCCGGCCAGAATGCAGCCCTGGCGGTCTTGGAGGACCGGTTCCAGCCGAACATGACGGTGAGCGACACCTGCACATCCCACTACGTGGTCGTTAGTGGGAAGTGCACCCAAGAGCTGGAGAACGCAGAGGGACAGTGGCCTAATCTGGAGGTCAGGGAAGGCTTCTCAGAGGAGGCGACGACTGAGTGGCCAGTGGAGTGAGGGTAGAGAAGTGCTATTCCAACAGATTACCGTCAGTGCCAGAGTTTTGGACTACGGAAAAGTCAAAGCTCAGGGAAGAGAAAATGGATTTTGTATGGAGTGGGATAGAAGTAAATGACGTATGTCACTTCCAAGGTGCCTAAAGCCCAGAAAGAGAAAGACAATGAATAGTGGCTGAGGGGCCAAGACCACATTGGTTGGGTGGATAGGCCACCAGTAAGTGACCCAGATCTGTGATGATGGGAGCAGAGGGTCTCTGGAGAGAGGGAGGCAGAGACCAGGGGAGGGGAATTTGGGGTGGAGATGGGTTGTAGAAGGAGAGAGAAATTTGGGTGTGAGCAATTGGTAAGTAGTCTGGGTTTCAAGATTAACAAAGTCTCCAGGCTGTTGCCTGAGGGTGATACCAAAAGGGTCCATCAGGCCTCACACACTTTGCCACAGCTGGAGGCCGCGCAGGGGCTGCTGGTGGAAGCCATCACTGCAGGAATCCTGGGTGACCTGGGCTCTGGGGGCAGTGTGGATGCATGTGTGATCACAGGGACTGGTGCCAAGCTGCTGCGAACACTGAGCTCACCCACAAAGCCCATAGAGAGGTGAGAACAAAGGAAATGGGAGACCACAGGGGAGGATGGACTGTAACAGGGAGGTAGGGGGCTGCAAGAGGATGGGCCACATGATGGGCTTATGTTGAGAAGCCATCCCTTCTCCCTCCTAGGCCAGGCCAGTACAGCTTTGCCCCTGGGACCACAGCTGTCCTGTCCCAGACAGTGATGCCACTGCCCCTGGAACTGGTGGAGGAAACTGTGCAGACCATGGAGGTGGAATGAAGTAGGCTGAGGCTTAGAGCCTGGAACAAGGGGGAATAAATGCAGAAAATGCAAATACCTGAACAGATGCTGTGTTGTTCTTGGGTGGAAAGGTTGAGCAGCCAGCAGGGCTCTGTGGCTAAGGTATCCCTGCAAGGGCCACTCCCTCCCACACCTCCAGTCACTGGTCTAAGAGGTGCCCTTCACCCATCACCTTAGGCGTCTCACTCCAGAACCTCAGCCCTGGTGAGCACTGCAGGCTCAAGGTGGAAAGCCCCCTCCTGACTCCACAGCAGAGGTCCCCCTACTCCTCCGCCTTCCTCTTGCACTCCAGTTCACTGGGGACTGTGGTAAAACCCAAAGGGGCCCAGGTACTGCTCCCACTTAAGAGCTTTTGCCTGGCTCATCAGTGGCCCAAGACAAAGCCCACACTTCTCAATCAAGACTTCCCCCACCCCGCTTTCCCATGGACCCTGAAGACTAAAGTACTGATAGAGGAGCTGCCCTTGGGTCTAAGGGCAAGTTCTCACAGAGTACTCCCCACCCCTGCTACACCTTGACCTGTGAAACCCCTTCACTAACCAGGCACATCATCAGAGGTACTAACACGAAACTGGGTAATGGGACTGACTCCAAGTTTTGATGGGTCACAGCACTCGTGGGGTGAGATGACTTGACATGTTTATCCAACAAACCTTTGCTGAGCACCCACTGAATGCCAGGCCCAGGTCCTGGGTGCTGGCAGGAACATCCTGCTCTCAGAATGGCTAAACACCACTGGAACCTTGAAACTTTGAGAAGTCTGCCCTTTAGGGAGGGGTCTACTCTATGCTGGACATCCCCGGCCTGATTGTGCTTTTCCCCCCAACATTTTATTATGAAGATTTTAAAACATAAAACTTGAACTGTACCTATACATACCTATACATACCCACCACAGACTACGATTAATATTTTGTTATATTTGCTTTACCACATATCTATCCATTCATCCCTCTATTCAACCATTAATTTGCCTTACTTTTTTGACTGATGTGTTCTTGCATTAGTTGAAACCCTCACACCCTTAGTAAGCCAGCCAACTTACCCATTGCAACTTTGCACACAGGGGCCTCTTCTCTCCCTCAGTTCAAGCTCAGCCTGGAGCTCAACAAGCTGTAGCCACCAAGAGCTTGCTCACAGGAGCCCCAAGGCCTGGAGGATGTCAGATTTAATGGTTGTCACCCTTCTACTCAAAACCTCTGTCACCAAAGGCTCGCCCCTTGCCCTCCTCTGAACCAGGCCCCTCTTAGGCATTATCTCATCGTTAAGAGTGGGCTTTGGAGCCAGAAAGGTGAAGGTTGGAGTCCAACCACACCATGTGCTGGTGGGAGTCACCATCTCTTTAAGCAAACTGTGACTCCTTTTGAAAGTTGAGGAATCACTGAGGTATCTTAGGATTCACAACCTGCTAAAACCCCTGTTCAGCCACATGGCCCTTCCACAGCAGAGCTAGTATAACAAGACATTCCCTCCACAGGTCAGAACACCCCTGGGTGCTGAACAGGCTTCTCTGAGAGTTTGGTGCCCAAGAAGTCCAGGGAGACTTCCCTGATCCCAGCCACCAAGTGGTCAACATAGACCTAATGTAACTAAGTCCTTGGAATCCAGTGCTCCGCACTTGGGATGTGAAATGGTTTGAATAGTCTGAGGCCAGGCTTTGGGAGGTGGAGGAGGTGAGAACCTCACACCTGGGCTCTTGTCTGATAAGTCCAGGCCTGGATAGAGGAACTTGGCCTAAAGAGACCCTTCTCCCGACTAGAGCGTGGGAGATGGCTATGTCCATACAGCTGGCCTGACCTCATACCTGGACTTTAGCCCAAGGACAAGGAGTCCTATAAAGCCAGACCCGGTTCTCAGCCTCATGCCTCTCACAATGCTGCTGCTCAGCCTGATCCTTAGCCTGATTGTGCTCGGCTCCTCATGGGGTGAGTGGGTGGGCCTGGACCAGCCCCGACTCCCAGCAGCGGCCCAGGCTTCCTACCCAGGGGCAAAGGGAGGCAGCCAGGCTGGCTGAAAGAGGTGGTGAACAGAGTGGACAAAGGAAAAAGGATGTGCCAAGGCTAGGAGGAGGCAAGAGGTGGACAGGAGTCTGGGCCTAGGCCCAGGAGCCAGAGAAGTTTTAGGAAGCTGAGAAGCAAAGGTAGGACATATAGTCTAGGAAGAGCCCTCTGGCTGCACGAAGGAGCATGGAGCAGGTAGAGAGGCCAGGAGATGATCCCATGTGGGAGACAAGTGGCCTGGGCTGTTGGGTGGAGATGGAGTTGGGGGGAACAGTGGGGAGTAGCTTGGAGAGAGACATGGGAGAGTAGCCCCCTTGGGAGTGCAGAGCTGGAACACCTGGGAGGAGGAGGTGGAGCGATGTGGGCTGGGGTATGGGAAGCAGGTCCTCACCAGCCCGATGGCCAGGCTGCGGCATTCCCGCCATCAAACCAACGCTGAGCTTCAACCAGAGGATTGTCAACGGGGATAATGCAGTGCCGGGATCCTGGCCCTGGCAGGTGTCCCTGCAGGTACATGCACCATAGAGGTGGGTAAGGATCCCAGGTGCTTCACGCCTTGGCATAGCCTGAGTCCCCCTCCCACTCTGACCCCTGACCCCAGGACAGCAGTGGCTTCCATTTCTGCGGTGGTTCCCTTATCAGCCAGTCCTGGGTGGTCACTGCTGCTCATTGCAAGGTCATGTGAGTACTTCCACTGCACCTGCCCCACCCTAGCCCACCTCTCCCTACCACCTTACCCTGGATGCCCCTCTCTTGCTCTGCCCTCCCTGTGGCTGGCCAACCCCACTCTCACTGCAGCCCTGGCCGTCACTTTGTCGTCCTGGGTGAGTATGACCGATCATCCAGTGCTGAGCCTTTGCAGGTTCTGTCCATCTCACAGGTGAGTGCCTGAGCTGCAGACGTGGGAAGGAAGAGTGGGCAGTGCTGGTGGGTGGGCTCTGGGGATGAAGAATTCAGGCATGCCCTGGCCTAGCTCCCTCAACACCCATCAACCCTTAGGGGCTGTGCTCACCCTATCCTACATAGCCCCTTCCTGGCTCCACAGGCCATCACACATCCAGACTGGAACCCCACCATCATAAACAATGACCTGACACTACTGAAGCTCACCTCCCCAGCCCAATACACGACACGCATCTCACCAGTTTGCGTGGCTTCCCCAGATGAGGTGCTGTCTACAGGCCTCACATGTGTCACCACTGGCTGGGGCCGCCTCAGCGGCTTAGGTAGGAACTTGAGCCAAAGACCTAGGTGGGAGGGTTAGGGTGGAGACAAGTCATCCAAGTCCTAACCATCCCCTCCTGGCCCACAGGTAATGTGACCCCAGCACGCCTGCAACAGGTGGTCCTGCCCCTAGTCACTGTGAGAAAGTGCCAGCAGTACTGGGGCTCACGTGTCACGGACTCCATGATCTGTGCAGGTGGCTCAGGGGCCTCCTCGTGTCAGGTAAGCACTACCCTGTCCTGTCCTCTGCACTGTCCTCCAGCACCCCCGACCACCCAAGCTGACTTCTCCCCTCTCCTTCCCTCAGGGTGATTCCGGAGGCCCTCTTGTCTGCCAGAAGGGGAATGTTTGGGTACTTATTGGCATCGTCTCCTGGGGCACCACCAACTGCAACGTACATGCACCTGCCATGTATACTCGGGTTAGCAAGTTCAGCACATGGATCAACGAGGTCACAGCCTACAGTTGATCCCACCACATGCCCCTCCCCATCTCAAGTCAATAAAGACCCCAGGTTCTCCTCTTACATCATCTGGTCTGTCCTCCTGGCTCAGGGGGACTTTGCCTTCTGGCATGGCAGGTATTGAGGAGTCAGGATCTTCCTAGACTAGCCATGCCCAGGCTGGGCCCCCTTCCCTCCTCCTCCTCCTCCTCCTCCTCGTGGGTGACCCCTTGGTCCACAGCACGGAGCCGGGGCCATTAGAATGAATGGGCAGCCTTCCCTGGGGAGGGCAGCCTGTTTATTGAGTATGGAGGATACATTTACAAACTGAGTACATAAAATAAATAACTGCACATTTTCCATCCACAGTCCATGGCATGAAGGCCCAGGTGGGCCTATTAAAGGCCCAAGTCTCCAAACTCCCTCTGTCCTACTACCTTCAGGACCAGGCCTATCTTGGGCAAGAAAGGAAATAAATCCCTAGGGCTTCAGGCCCCCAGAGGCACTTGGAAAAGTGGGGGTACTTCTGAGGCCATGAGGCTTGGGGCTCTCCACTGCCTTATGCCAGGGGCACTAAGGACAGAAGGTGGGGGTGTGTAAAAGGCACAAATGACTTGGCCCAGAATGATCTCTTTGGCTTGGTTTCCCAATGGAATTGGCACACACATAAAAAGGAAGTCCTGGCTACTCAATGGGAGGAACTGAGTAAGGGCCAAATCCTCCCTGCTGGCAGGGAACCTGCAGTCGAGCTAAGGCTAAAGCTGGGCCCTGGCTCCTTCCCACCCACTGAAAGCAGCTTTGGAGGGAGGGGGCTTGGGTTTCAGCCCAGTTTGTGGTGGGGAGGCACCATGACTGACATGGAGATGGTCTGGCTCAGGCCTCTGGGAAAGCAGCCATCTAATTCCACTCACCTCTGGCAGGGGCTCCCTCCAGCCTGAGATACAGCAGGGCTCAGACTGGAAGGGTAATGCTGTGAAAGGAAGCGGGGGACAGGCTGGATAGGGCAAGGCCAGCTGTGAAAGGCCAATACCCCAGGCACTCAGGGTTCAGAGGCAGATCACACAGTACGGCTAAGTTCCAGAGAGCTGCGCAGAAGCGGAGAGTTGAGCAGCCCTGGGCCCCACCTTAATGCAGCAGCTCCTCCCTTCCTACTTCCTCTTGGAGGATGAAGAGTGAGTGGCAGTGATCATTACTAGGCTGCCTATTCTCATGCCAGACACTAGGTGGTGCGTTCATGCAGCTGCAGAAGAGGGAACAGCAGAGCCTGAAGGGAAAGGGCAATCGGGAGTATCAAGGGTAGAACCAGGGCTGACACTGACCCTGGAACCCTGACGGTGCTCTCCCTGGGAAGGCCCTGCCCTCTGCCTTGGCCCAGGTGCCCCATCCCCCAGGTAGCAGCAATGGGGCTCCCTTCAATCCCCCACAGTTGGGAAGGAGGCACCTGGAGAATAGAATGGGCATCCAAGGGGGAGGAAGGTGACGGTAGGCTCTGCAAAGGAGGCACTGAGAGCAGTGGCCTGGTGGTGGGCAGGAACTATCTCATAGTCAGAGAGAGGTCAGAGCCTGGAGCAAGCATGTTACCAACATGGCCACACAGTCCAGAAGGGCCAACGTCCATGCCATGGCCCTACCACCAGAGTTCCTGGCAAGTCCTGGGGCAGGGAGTGATCCTTAGCATCTCCATGAAGGAAGACAGATCTTGGCTGGAAGGTTGGGGGCTGTTCAGACTTAGCCAGGGGTGAGAGTCCAGCCAAGACACAAGCTTTGTGCCTACCTGGGCCTCTCAACTGAAACATAATCATGAGGATCAGGATGCCATGGAATGTGGAGGGCCAAGGAGGAAAGTTTGGTAGAGGAAAGAGGGGTTCCAGAAGTAACTATCCCAAAGAGTCCTGGAACCACAGGACTCTCTCTACCTGGCACTGCATGTTCCTCTGGTCTGAGGAAGAGCCAAGAGCAAGGGGTGAAGGAGACTTAAAGCCAGGTCCTGCCCTTTTCCCAACTTGTACCAGAGCAGTAACCCACCAAAAGGAGCATCAGTGCCAATTCAGGGGGCTCCCTCCACTCAGTCACCCAGGGTGAGGAAGAGAGCTGCTGAAAGCACAAAGGAGAGGCTGGGGCCATTCACCTACCACTGGCCACACAGGCCTACCTCCAGAGAGGGCACTGGGTCCAGACGGCCCAGCAGCGTGTGACCAGGCTGGGACCATACCATGTCTCTACCACTGCCAGGCAGCTCAGCCATTGTATTGCTGCTGGTAGCGCAGGTTGAGCTCCCGCAGCTCCCGCTCCCGCACACGGCGTGACTTGTTGGAGCGTGTAGAGCGGCTGGAACGTGTAGACTGGGCAGATTTGGTGCTCTGGCAGCGTGAGGAGGCACGTTTGAGAAGGTTCTGGGAGATGGAGCGGTGAAGATTCTTCATGGACGAAGAGGCTGCCATGCTCACCACCCATGGGTGCCTCAGGGCCTGCAGTGCAGTCATACGGGCACCTGGGTCCACTGTCAGCAGGCGGTCAATGAAGTCCTTGGCCAGGTTGGACACGCTGGGCCAGGGCTAAAGGACAAAGGCAAGCATTAGAGCAAGAACACTCAGCACTGCTTTCCCCATCCCGATGATGCCACCACTACAGCACTCGGACCTGTCCGGTGCCCCTGCACTCTCTCCAGAGAGAGAGGTACTGCCTGGCTCCTCCCATGTAGAACATTAAGGGCCTCCCCTCCCCACCCAATACTGGCCGAGGACATGGAACAGAGGTTGCCCTCTGGATGACAAAAAGTCTGACAAGAAAAACCGCTCCCCTCCTCAAGGAGCAAACTTCTAAGGTAGCCTAGACTCAAAGCCTGGCTCAGAGAAGTGATGCCTGTCAAGACCCCCCAACTTACCCCAGGACCACTGTAATTCAGGGGGATTTAAAAAGAATGACCCAAACCTTCCACCATGTCCTGAGCCAGACTTAAGCTCCAATCCCTGGATGCTCAAACCAGGCCACTAAGAGCAGAGGTCCCCAACTTCTGGGCCACAGACCGGTAACAGTCCGTGGCCTGTTAGGGAGTAGGCTGCACAGTAGTAGGTGAGCAGCAGGTGAGCAAGTGAAGCTTCACCTGTGTTTGCAGCAGCTCCCCAGTGCCAGCATCACCACCTCAGCTCCACTTCAGATCATCAGGATTCTCACAGGAGCACCGGTCCCTGGTGCCAAAAAAGGTTACGGTTGAGGACTGCTAAGAGGAAAACTTTCTAGTCCTTAAAGAGGGTCCACCTTCCCTCCAACTGACAAAGTGGTGATAGGCAACCACTGCAGGCCCTACATCAATCTTGGCCTCCCAGCCATGGGGAGAAACAGAAACAATTCAAGGCAACGAGATTTCTCCATCTGCTGAGAGGATAGGGGGCTCCCGTGGGCCAGGCAGGGACCAGGACCCTTCTCAGGGGCATTTACCAGTCTGCAAGACCTCTCTAAACCACACAGGGGCTCCTTGTAGCGCTCTGCGCCAGCCTCGTTTTAGTACATTCTATTCCCAGGGAGGAACAGCACAGTCTACTCTGCCACGTGTATCCATGGCTGCCGCATCTCAGCCACATACTAGGCAGCTGTTCATTTCAGGGCCTCAGCCTGAATAGGCTGTCTTCACTTAGCTGAATCCTTAGGTTCTCAGGATAAAGGACACTTGCTCAGACTTCCTCTTAGACCCCAGTGCTAAGCAATTATTCCAGCAATTTAAAGTTTATTGCTGCTGTTAGGGCAGGCTGAGCTGGATGAGCCTAGTGCCTGCTGCTGGGCATACAGGAGGCATTCATTAGATACAGATTCAGTGAGTAAATAACCCACAGATGGCACCTGATGGGTACCCTCATGCTCTGGGCCATTTTGAACCCTTCTACTGGAGAAGACAAATGCAGCACAGCTCTGAGTCCTGGCATCTCCCAGGGGTACTCTGGCATGGATTCTGAGCTCCCCAAAGAGTAGGTGACTAGGACCTTTGTTGATGATCATCACCCTTCTTCCTGCCAGGTGAGGTCTGACTGCTCCACCTCATGGTGTTCTTCACCTCGGAGAACAACGCATTCTCCAGGAGGCTCGGGAAAATCTAAGAGCCCACATTTGGGGCAGCTGCATGCCCATTCAGTAAACACACTTACACAGTGACTATCACTGCTCCAGTAAGGCTCCCTTGACCTCCAACTCCTCCCCCAAGCCCTTCTCCAGTCTGTACAGGGTAGGGCAGAGGGAACACTCATCCAGAGCCTTAAAGAAGAGGCAGTGCTACTTGTAGTTGCTACCCTTACCTGCCCTTTAGAAGGCAAATCTCAATTTTTACTGAGCTGAACTGGGAGAAAGTGACTTTCCCAGACAGCCACCTAATAGGGTCCTCTTCACCAATGGGCAAGCTCTCAAAGTTTCCCAGGCAGATAATGGTCCTCAAGAGGAGGGTGGGAAGCCAGGGCCTCAGGAACATGTAGCCCAGGGAGGCTCCCCAATACCTTGCTGCCTGAGAGCAGTGCGTGGGTGGGGAGGGGCGAGCGGGGTGCAAGAAGCAATGGCCCTCTCACGTTTCCCTGCAGGCCTGTGTAGCTCAGGCCTCCAGTATGGAGGCCAATATCCAGGGTGACTGGACTGGATAATTGTTGCCACAATAGCTTTTGGCTCACAGTTCAAGAAAGCCCCTTGGCTTGCTGCTGCCATCTGAACACAAGGAGCCAATGTGAGGGACCAGCCAATCCAGACCACAGATACTGCGGCCCGCATCATTCATTTGAGAGATGGAAAGAAGCAAGCATAATGGGACCGCTGATGAACATAGCAAATCTACAGCTGAACAGATTGGGTCATGGGAATACTAGCGTTTCCCTGCCAGCTTTAATGGTCTCCAAAAAAAGGCGAAATTACTGGGGAACACACTGCAGCTCTGCCTGGACCGTTGGTGGGACAGCCCCAAAACAAAGCTGGCCGCCTGGGCTAGCCAAACAGGGCTGAGACATGGATTCTGTCCCTGTCCCTTGGTCCTGCCAAGACAGAAGAGGGGTAACTCCTTTGCAGATGAAAGAATAATAGTAGCAAAGCTAGACTCACAAGCCAGGAACTTGAACATGGATGAACTGGTGGCCTGTCCACTTTACCTCCACACCCAGCCAAATCAAGGCCCCCTGCAGCTCCAAACCAGTCCAATGCAGTCTTAGACAGGCCTCTCACCAGACCCACCCTGTGGGCTTAAGCATCTCCATCTCCAGAATGACACAGGCACACACCAGGCATCGACCCCTGCTGCTCATCGAGCGGCTAGCCTGTTAGTGCCAAAGCAAGTTAGATTGATCCACCCCTCCTGCTCCCCCAAATACTCGCCTCTCCAATTACTTGTGTATGTGTGGCTGTGTGCAGAATGCCAACGGACTCATTTGTCTGAAAGCCAGCCCAGCCCTCTCTGGCAGGCCCAGTTCTCCCCATCTTTAAAGAGCTGTAAGCGGCTGGGTCAGGTAGGTGCCCCAAGCCAATATGATTCAAGTTGCGCTGACCTGAGAACCAGGCTGTGCCAATGGCACCCAGCCTAACCCTCATACACTGAGGAACCTGCAGCAGGAAGTCAGGCAAGCCAACACAGAAAGGTGGTCCTCACCCAGCCCACTGACAGCGGGGTAGGGCTTAGGTTGACTTTCAGAATAGGGGCCCCTGAGAGCCGTGCTGAGGCCTTCAAAGGGGCTCAGAAAGGAAAAGCAAAGCTTTCGACACTCTCATGGCCATGCTTCCGGCACTAAGTTCAATTTAGCACCTCCTAAGAAAGTGTTCAACACCTGCAGACCAACCCGCCTCCTGTCCCAACATGCCTAGGCCTCTGAAACCACACGAGTATGTCTGCCAGCCTATGACTGACTAGCCAGGAAGTATTCTGGGCATGAAAAAAAGAAAAATGATAAAACAGTCACGTCCTTGGGTTTCCACACTCTATTTATTGGCTCTGGGTAAAGAACTCTCACTTCGGTATACTTGGGGCCCAGATCAGGGACAGACATGGGCCTCAGGTGGCTGACAGAAGGGACAGGCCACAAGTACCACCTGGGCAGTCTCCCAGGGGCTTCCACCTGTTTCTGGGCTGACACAGAGCATGGAACATGGAAGAAAATGTTAAAATGTCCATCCGCCTTGCCTCCAGACTCAGGTCTTCCTCTGCTCTGAGATCAGAGGATAGCCACAATACCCCAGAAGACAGCCTGCACCCATCCCCCTTTCCACAAGTCTGTCATGAGCTGTGTGTGGGCAGGGGATGGGCTCTGCCCCGAGAAGAGGACAAAGAGAGGCCGTGACAGGAGGGGCGTCACCTCCACCCTGGCTCTGACCATCAAGCTGGCTGCTCTTCTTCCCAGTCTACAGCCCCCAGAGTCCTTGACTCTTTGTAATTAGGGTACCTACTCTTGATGCTGTCACAGCAGAGAAGCCAATAGAGGGTAGAGGGACCTCTCCTGTGAGCACTTTCTTACCACCTTTACCCTCCTCATCCTCCTGCTCCTGTGGGACCAGTTACTCCTCAGCAGCAGAGTCTGACACTCCCTTCAGAGCGAGGCACCAATCACAAAGGGCTTTCCACTCCAGCTCAGAGGATGCACCTCTCTCCTCCCCAGTCCTTCTAACTTGCTACCTTTAATGTTACAAGGGCCTGCCAAAAACATTACCCATGCCACTACCAGTCTCAACTGGAGCCCAAGGACTAAGGGAAAAAAGGATGGAGTCAGCTCTCTAGCCTCGGCTACAGAGAGAGGAGGAAGCTGCTGCTTTCTACTAGCAAACCCAACTCACAGGGCTTGCCTTTACACCCTTTGGCAGGCAGGTCTGACCACTCTCATGGGAGGGGAGAGAAAGATCTGGTGTCTCTTCCATATGGCATCAGGGTGACAGATTAAAGTGTTAGGCTACAAGCCCAGCAACCTGTGTTCTAGTTCTACCTTCTCTGTGTGACCTTAGAGAAATCACAGCCTCCTTACTTTTAGTATGAAAGAGCTGAATGCAATGAATTCTAATTATCTTCTAGTTTCTGAAGTCCTGGATTCTAAGAAGATGGCTACCCATCTTTTTTCCTCACTTGGCTGTGTATGAGGAACAGAAGCACAGCATCATTTAAGCTAATTTGACCTCTTGACCTGTACAGGTTCTTTCCCAGCCCATGATGACTCTGGGGAAGGTTCCCTGGCAGAGACAGCAGCGCCACTAAAGAGCTGCTAGAGGAAGAAAGGGAAGAAACAAGCCTGGGCTTTGCTCCTGTGACTCAGTTCTTCCCTCGGCTTCATCTCAAGATGTATTTTCAGACCCAGCATTCCAAAGGCCTTCTTCCTGTACTTACGTGGGCCTGAATAAGAGCAGAGAAAAGGACACAGAGGACATTCCAGGAAATGAAGCTGCAGGTTTACTCAGGAGAACTGTTAGTATGACAAGAACATCACACACTGATGTTGCCCATGACCAAGTGTTTCGAAAACTTCAGCAGAATTAGACACTGTGGCAGTGGAACCAGTATTCCCTCCTCTGGTCAAGACATTCATCATCCTGGTGGCTGAGCTTCCAGACCAGACAGAATCCACCACCCTGGGACCTGGTAGGGGGTGGATGGGGGCTGAGCAGCAGAAAAGAGGACTTTGGCGGTGAAAGCCTGAGGGAGAAAAAGAAGGAAGATAATAAGAGTTTTAAAAAGAGGCAGAGAATGAAAATAAAAATAAAATGAGAAAAAGCATGACAACTTCAAGGTTAGTAAAGCTATGTTCTGAAACTTGAGAATAACAAAATGAAGTCTTGTGCCCCAACCTGTCTCTGCCCAGAATCCACAAAGTAAAGGTCAGGGACAAGAGGGAGACAGGGTGTAACTCAAGAGTCAGGAAAGGTGCTGTGTGTTCTTAGGAATCAGAGGGATGTTGGCAACCTGTGCCAGCAACTGAGTAATGTCTGCTTTTTACGGTGTCCTGGAGCAGCCCTGGAAAGTTCTGGATTTCAGAGCCTGCTGCATAGTGGCTTCTTCTATCTACACTCATAGGTTCTACTAAGGCCAGGTGGTTTCCAGGGCCCGACCAAGCTTTTTTTTTTTTTTAAACTTCTAATTCCAATTAGAATTCTAATTTCTGAGGCAGTTTGGAAACCTAATGGCTGTTAATATATCACCCATTCTGTGTCCTCTGCCTCCAGAGGTCTGTGTCCCTGGAACCCTGGGTACACTGGACTCGGCTCAGGGCAAGTACTTGGTCAACATGGGGTGGCAAGATGAATGAAGAGATGAAAGTGGCAGCTTTATGTCCAAGTCAGCCAGGACACACTGGAGCAGTGCTCAGGTCTGGGTGCACCTGCACTGGGAGACAGACAAACGGAGGCCAGGTAGGCATGCATGAGAAGGGTGACCTTGTGTGATGGGATAACTGACTGAGGACAAAGAGCCTGGAGAAGTACGGCCAGTGGGGCGTAGTTGGACCAGCAGCTTCCACCTCAGTGGAGACTAGACGGGGATGAGTGTGGGAGGCCATCAGCAGATTTAAAGAGGTCAGAATGTGGGAGAGAGAACAGCTCCAGAAGCTCCCAGAGGAACTCGAGGACCTAGAAGCGACAGGGCCTGTGAGAGGACAGAGCAATGCAGATGTGGACAGACAATAAGAGGAGAAAGTGGGGGCAGACAGTGCACCAGTAATTGCTCTGAACACAACTCACAAAACGCTCCCTTTGTTGGAGAGGCCTCAGTGGGGACCAGGAGTGGGAAACAGCAGTGATGAAAGGAGGCTCTACCCTGGGTTAATGAGATGCTGTAGGTGGTCAGAACAAGACATTTTGGTAGGAATGGCTGAATGCAGCAATGTGGGGAGATGGCTGCCTGTTTCTGCCACCAGAGGAGTGTACTGTTCTCTGGGGAGTATGCAACCAGTGCAGCAGCAGCAGAGGGATGTCTAGAGGACAGGGCTCCAGGGAGCCAAGTGGTGGCCCAGAGGTAGAACATGAAAAAGATGCTGCCCCTCTCCACTCAGAGCCTGGCATCCTGCCCCCACAAGAAGGGAGCCCATTCCTGCCTTCCTCCAAGAGGTCAGCAACCAAGGGGAAGTCTCCAACCATAGGGACCAAACCATGCCACCTCGCAGTGACCAGTTAGGGACCTAAACTGAGGACATACGCTCTTGCAGTGAAGGACTTATGTGTTGAACACCTACTACGTACCAGGAGCTTTGGTGAGTTAGGGATGGCCCTTTCCGAGGGCTCCTGCCCCAACAGGTATAGGGGCTTCTACCTATCCTCTTGGGATCCTCACATAGAGCCAGCATCGTCATCCAGCACTTGACACCAGCAGCCAGTCAAGTTAACAAGGGTTTAGGGATGTCTCTGAACAAAGAATTCTGAATCAATCTGTTTTTTTTGTTTGTGCTGTCAGCTATTGTGACAGACACAGGAAAGCCATCCTCTGACTCTGGGAGCAGCGGGCAGTGAGAGATGAATGGGGAGCTGATGGTCTACCATAGTCCCCATTCACACTGGAGGGGGAAACATGAGGCAATTAAAGGCAACCGACAGTCTACAGCCATGCCACCCTGAACATACCCGATCTCATCTGATCTCAGAAGCTAAGCAGGGTTGGGCCTGGTTAGTACTTGGATGAGAGACCACCTAGGAATATCAGGTGCTGTAGGCTAAAAAAACTAAAAAATTTAAAAAATAAAAAAATAAAAAAGTAAAGGCATCCGGCAGAATCCAAGCACAAGCCGGGAACTATGCCACCTGCCTCCCTGCATTCCGTCTGCTGCCTAAACACACATCCAATCTCCAGCTCTCCCATGTCTTCTGGGTAGCTCTCCCCATGGCTCTGGGGCAAGGTCCTAAACTTACTCACCCAGATTAAGCTACATGACCAGGTCCCACAGGCACTGAACCCCTTCACCTAGAGAGCACCAAGACATTCCCCGTCTTCTCCACTTCATTTTATTTTCAACATCCCAGGGCCAGATGGCAAGGGTTAGAGTCTCTTTAAGAAGCTGAGTGGAAATGTAAATGTCAACTCTGGCTGGAGGCACATATCCTACTGCAGGGCTATCAGAATTCCAAGATGGCCCAACTCATTGTCCTTGGACCCCAAGTAGATGGATAGTCATCCCATAGCCCAGAAATCCATCCTTGAGAAGCCACCTCCCACCAACATATCCCCTAGGTAGTAGCAGATCGGCCCACAGGTGGGCTTCCTCTCCCCCTATGGTTCTGTCCTCTGTCCAGCAGCACTCTCCTGAATGATGCTCTGTGAAAACCTTTGCCCAAGCCCTTCTGTTCCTGGTATAGTCACTCCGGCTTGCCTGCAGCTCAGAGACTGCCTAAGCAGGGGAGGGTGACAATTAAAGGTTGCTAAACATGGAAGGCAGCAAAGCTGCTGATGGCATCTCTGCTATCAATCCTCCAAAAGCCTATTCCTCTGTCCTGACTCTAGGAATAGAACTCTTGGCAAAGCAATGACATTAGGCCAGTGATGTCACATTTCATGTCAAGTGAATCACAGAATTTCCAAGCAAAACCTTAACAGTCTTCTAGTATGGGTCCACAGATGATGACTCACCTGTGTCACTCCTTTAGAAACGGCTGCTCCAGCCTCCTAAGGCCTTCCATGCATGACAGGAAGCTCGCTCTCTCAAGGTAGCTCTTTGTGTCTTCAGACTGCTCTCACATTCAAATGGCCTTCCTCACATCTGGTCAACATGTCTCCTCATCACTTCCACTGTGACCCTAGCTTGGACCTCTCCACTCCAGCACCTCTGGTCACTAAATAAATTCAGCTTTCTCCTCTCGAAAATCACCATAGCCTTCTCACTCCCAGCACTCTTTTATCTTCCAAGATTCCTGTGTTTGCTTCTAACCAGGTCTAGCCAGTAGTCCTCTAAGAATACTGCCAACAGGCTCCCCACTTCTTCCTAGAGTCCAGCCCCCAGAAGACAGCACTCCCAGCCAGCACAGACAGCCCAATCTACTTGCCAGCCAGTAATTTTTGGGTCCCTTCTCAGGGCATCACCGACAACCACTGGTACTTCTCTCAGAAGAAGCCAGGAGAAAGTTCTAATATACACACTGTCCTCAGCGGGCAGGGAGATATATACAGACAGCAGTCCAAGAAAATGCAGAAACAGGTCTACAGCTATGCTACCATGAACACGCCCAATCCTGTCTGATCTCGGAAGACCATGAACACGCCCGATCCCGTCTGATCTCGGAAGCTAAGCAGGGTCGGGCCTGGTTAGTGCTTAGATGGGAGACGACCTAGGAAGACCAGATGTTGTAGGCGTAAAAAAAAAACAAAAAAAGGTCAGAAACAGACTCCAGCAACATGCAGAGGCGCATGTCAGGGAGAGTGGACTGAGCGGACCTCAAAAGCCAAGATGGCCTAGATTCAAATTCCAGGCCTGCCACCTTCTAGCTGGGAGACCAAGGACAAGTTACTTAACCTAACTAGCCTCAATTTCCTCATCTGTAAAATGGACTATTGAGGAGATTAGAGATGTTGGGTATAGAACCCTCAGCCCCATGCCTGGTGCTCAGTAGGTACTACATGATGGCAATGGTCAGCATTATTCCAAAGGAAGCAATGTTTGAATTAGATCTCTTAGAGCTGGTCAAATTTCCAAGGTGAACAATGTAGCAGAGGGAAAAGCTTGAGCAAAAGCTAAGTGTGGAGAGTTGTCTGAGTGAAGCAAACATCTTGGGTCTATATTGTGGGAGAAAAGGTGGGGTGTGCAGCTGGGACTGAAGCTAGAGTATCTAGATAGTCAGGATCATGGGAAGGCAGGATGCTGAAGGAAAACCCACTTGATGTGCTTCCCTCTGCCACTGGGGATGTCAAGGCAGGACCGTACATACTCTCCAGGCCTGAGCCCTCTCTTAATCTGCCCTTAAAAGCTGACGTTCTTCCTCAAAGCTGATGAGCCAAAGGAGGGTTCTGTCCTCCACTCCTCTTCCTAAACTACGGCTCACACATACTACATGGAGCCCACTCTCTGGGATCCCTGATCCACCCCAAACATCTCAGGGAGGCCAGGCTCCTCCATCCCAAGCTGGGACTATCCAACAGCCTCTGTTAGCCTTCCACCTGCTAATCTCCAACGCTTTCTGTTGCATTCCCCCCTCACTAGCATTCCGCTCTCTCCCTCCTAACACTTCAATCCCCAAGTAGCCTCTGGCACTACAGAGCTCAAACACCTGGCCAGCCCCTATCCTAGTCAACTTCTGTTCCACATTCCTAAACAACTTACTGTTTATTCTGAAGCACAGTCAGTAATGTCCCCTTCTCTTTGCCTGCTCAAAGCTCACCTCCTGCACAAAGTCCTCTATTCAAGTCCACAGAAACCACTGAACCTGACAGAGGGCTGCATGGACAGCCCTCACCAATCAAGCACACTGGACAGAGCCTGGTATACACGAGATGCCGCCATGAGGGGGCAGGGAGCAGGATAAGTTTCCCTAGAAAGGTACTAAGTACCATGAAATTTACTGTCAGGTGAGGCATGCACACCTCCAAAACTTGCTAAGTTCAAAGTGGGCAATCCTTCATTTACTCAAGGAGTTAGTCTGAAATACTCTCCTCTCCTCAACATGCCATGCTCTCAGACAGGTTATCTCGCAAGACCTTTCTCATTTAGACGGCCTTCATAAGGGCAAATGACTGTCACACAGTATAAGACAGATGGCTGGATTAAGGGCAGGGGCAGGGCCCAGCCCTAAGAAGGTCTAGCCCAGCCACCTGATCTGGGTCCTATGGGACTGAGCCCATGTTCCAGACTGCCCAGGCCCAGCAATTCTACGCCAAGGCCTGCGCTGACATATGCCTAACAACAAAGGTTCAGTCTTTGGCCATTTCCTATTTCTAGTCTTTCTTCTCAAGCAGTCTCAAGGCCCATGGAGATAGGGAACAGACCTCATGTTTCTGTGCATCTTCCCCAGGAGCGATTATGGGTAGCCAATGACCAGTAAACAGAAAGAGATGCTTGGTCTCCAGCTCAGAGAGCCTGATCTAATGATGAGGCCTCCTCAACAGCCCAGAAAAAATCCCTCCTAACCCAGAGTTCCCTGCAGACAGTAGTGGAATCTTCTGGGGTTCAGCCAAGCTCCTAGTAACAGACAGGTGCTGGCAGAGCTGGCCAGAAATTTGACTCTGGAACTAGGAACTGATGAAGGGTAGCGGGGGGCAAAGGCTGGGCTGTGTCCACTCCTCAAACATTGGAAGCCCCAGACTCATGCCCTATGATTCCAGCAAAGCAAGAAGTAGAATTTCAGGACCCAGTCTTATGGCTACAATAGGAGTAGGAAGCACAAGTCCATTCCTTATCTCCCTCATTTGTCATCCTACCCTCAGATAATCAATAGCCAGTTAGCAAGACTCTGCAAGGTCTAATTAGATAAACTACCTGATCAACAACTGCAGGAATCAGGAACTCTTGGCCAAAGCTACAGACTTTTCTAAAGAGTATTTCCTTTGTTGGCATCTCTTGGGAAACCTCCCTTCCTCTAAGCTTGCTACTCCCTCTGCCAGCTGAACCCTCAAAAGCCTGGCACCAAGCAGAGGTCCAAGGGCTGGAGCTCCCAGGGCACAGCAAGTCAGGCAGGGCTTAGGCATAACACTGCTCTGTGAGGTAGGTTCTGGGTCTTCTGACCCATGATGAAACCCAGCCCAGAAGAGTGAGCAGGACCATGTCCTTTGTGACCACCCCATTACAGCCTGGGCTTCCCAGCCAGTCATCACTTGCTGACTCCATTTGGAGGAAGAAAGAAATTGTGAGAAATTTTAGGAGACAGCTGGCGAACGTCCTAGTTTCTCCTTTACCTGTGGCCAGCACAGAGCTGGCCTGAAGAGGAAAGCTTCCCATCCTTCCTCACACCACCCTGAGCCACAGGAACCGAGGATCCCCCTAGAGAATGTCAGCCTCCATCCCCACAGGAGAGAAGTCCTTGACTAACCCCAAGACCGTGTTTGGAAGCTGACAGGGAAGATGAAGGAGCACAGGACCTCAAGCGCTGAAGGCAAAATGGTATGAGGCTTTTAGGTGACTCCTGCAGGAAACGCTGCTCTGGGTCAGTTGGCTAGGGCCAGAGAGGGCCCAGCCCAAAATCCTTTGGAGGAAAGCTGGGCCACAGCAGAGCTCCCTCCCCTCCATGTGGGTTGCTTCTCGGCAAACCCAGGCTTAAGGAGAGCACTGTGGAGAGCACTCTGTAGGAGGCACTTGAGAACAGGCCCTGACTGCCTTGGCAAAATTCTGTCATCCTACAAAGCTCACATTACCTCCCATGTAAAGCTATAAACCACATTCTTTTCTTCACAGCCTCCCTGAGCACACCATTATGCTCTAGCTTGCAGCATTTCCTGAGTCAGCCTCATTTCCTACCAAATCAGCATCCTGCCTAAAGGACCTACCAGCTCTTACCTTTTTCTGCACCTTTCTTTAGCTCCCAGTAGTGCTGTACCTAATGGATTTTTTTCAACTTTCAGAACCATCAGTGGATCCAAAGACACAAACTGATGGCCAGCTATTTGAATCTGGCCTGCAGATTAGTGTTTATTGGCAAACAAGATACTGCTTAAATATGTGAACTAGATTCCAACATTTCAAGATCAGATTTTCTGGTTCTCTTGCGAAAACTGGAATGTCTGGATGCATGGGGTCCTCAATGGTGTGTGGCAAAGCTGGGAGAGATGAGAAACAGCTAGCTGCTCCTTTAGAGAGGGCATGGTCACTCTAGCTTGCCACAGTTCCCATGGAGCAGATACTGTGGAGGCCCTGCCTCATGTCCTCTCGGCCCGCCTGAGCTCACCTCCAGCTGTGGCGCTCCTGTGTATGATGACAGCTTCCCACTGCCAGTGCCTGCATCTCTCTGCTTCTTTGCCAGAGGACTTTCTCTGGCACTAGCTGGCATTCAGGACAGCCCAGTGCCAAGGAGTTAACACCCTCCAAAGAAATTCTTGACTCATACAGGAGTCAGTGATTAAAAACCACCCACTTCTCTGCCCTTCAGTGGTACAATTCTGAAATACATTCCACATGATTATTCACAGGGTCCCCAGTGGGACTGAGTTCCAGTGGCCCACAGTAGCAGTCCACTCTTTAATGTAACCTTTACTGACTTTTTCCCTTTCTGCCTCACTTTCCTTACCCTTTACTTGTGCTTACTGGAATCACATCCCAATTAAACTATGTGCTCCGTGTCCTTGTTTCAGGGCTCACTTTGGGGGTAAACCCAAACTAAACCATTCTACTAGTCTCACTTCATCATTTTTACATCACCTGCCTGGCCCCACCGCATGGCTGTCAGGGCACATCCCTCTGAGTGAAAGCTGCAGGCCATGCCCCTCCACACAGAGGCCTTCCAACATCCCCAGGACAGTGCAGACTCACCTCCCCCGAGTAACTGTACTTGCCCCTGAGGATCTGCCGGTACAGTCGGGTGCGGTTGTCATCTTCAAAGGGCATGGTGCCACTGAGCAGGATGTAGGCGATGACACCCAGTGCCCACATGTCCACTGAGTTGGTATAGGGCTTTCGGACAAGGACCTCAGGGGCAATGTACTCCGGCGTGCCGCAGGTGGTCTTCATCAGGCAGTCATCACCCTTCTTGCGGGCACTGGCCAGGCCAAAGTCAGTGATGATGATCTTGGAGTCAGTGCCGGGGTGGTAGTAGAGCAGATTCTCAGGCTTGAGGTCTCGATGTGTGATACCCAGTGCGTGTAGATATCGGACGCCATCCAGCACCATCTGCAGCACCCGCGTGGCGTCACGCTCAGTAAAAGAACCCTTGGCGATGATGCGGTCAAAGAGCTCTCCGCCAGTGGCCAACTCCATCACCATGTACACACGCTCCTGAGTCTCAAACACTTCCACTAGCTGGATGATGTTGGCGTGGCGCACCCGGCGTAGCACACGCAGCTCTGACTCACACACCTCCCGCCCCTCCCGGTACTTGGTCTCAATCATCTTGATGGCATATGGCTGTCGGGTTGCCCGGTGCTCCACACGTACCACTCGGCTGAAGCTGCCTCGGCCAATCAAGGCTTTGATGTCGTACTTGGCTGTCACACGTGGGTCAAACTTGGCCCTGTACTTAGCCACCCTGGCCCTGCGTGGTGGTTCTGAGGGAGGCTCTGTGTGGCCAGTAGTGGGGGCACCAGGGCAGGGGTTTGCACACTGGCTGGCTGCTGGGAGCCCAGCTTTGAGAGGGCCAACGCTGTCCACCTCCGTGATGAAGTGCTTGTATACATCACTCTTAGTGCCACTGAAGGGCTCTACCTTCTTGACCAGATCCAGGTGGACATCCTTGGGCGGCTCAGGAAGGACCTTGCTTGTCCCACAGCCCATCACGGACACGGGGGCATCCTCTCCAGCGAGGCTGGCAGGACCTGCTCTGCAGGCAGTGCCCCGTCTACACCTATAGAGATAGAAAAGAAGACAACTCAACATAGCTGGGGTCACCTCTGATGGAATATCAGCCATCCTCTTCCCCCTTCCCCCTTGCCCCTTGATAAACCTAACCTAAAGACCTGGCTCTAATGTGATTCCCTGGAAGGGATGATGACTTTGGCCCAGGAGTGCCTGGAGCACAGGCTCAATGGAGGGTCTAAATGAAAGACTGGATCTGAGCTCCATGGTCTTGACTTACATTTCCCCAGATCTAATTTTCACACTGCTCTTCAACCCCAAGAGAGGGGCAGGCATATGCACCAGGCTCAGCTGTCATTGTCCCCACCTTCCTCCCTACTCTGCCTGGGTCCCTTATCCTAGTTGAAGTCCTGTGTTTTTTAAATGTTAAAATCGTTCCTCTTATTATTCTGACTCATCTTTCCTGAAACAGGAGTGTGGAGTGCTAGAGACCTGCTCTCCAACACTACCACCCACCAGGGCTCAGAAAGCCACTTCACCAAGGCCTCCCCCATGGATATCTTCCCTGGCCCTCCAGCCCTCCTGCTAGGATTGATTCCCCTGCAATCACCACCACCCACTGCCCGGGGTCTCTGTCCTAACCTCACCCTTTCCTAAATGGCTCCCGCTACTTTGCTAACACACCATCTTCACTCCAGCAGTTTAACCACCCTGTTTCAGGGTCTCTCACTTCCCCAGCCACCACATAGATGGCTAAAAATGCCACACAAGTCCCAGAGGTGGCTGAAATCAATCCCAGTGAACTTGAGACCACAAGCCTTAGCACACTACCACCAGGTAGCCACCAAACTGGGCATCATTCAAGAGGCAGAGGGAACCTTGAGCTCAGAAAAGACACTAGCAACTTCATCCAGATGTGACTCAGACTGTGGGTGAGGGTGCTCTGCTTCTTTGGGATGAGGATCCAGGAGGCTTCCCATTTGTTTCCCAGACAGAGATGTTCCAACCCTTAATACTCTGCAGCTGGTGGCCCTGGACCAGGTAAAGTACTGAGCTACTGCTTTCCAGAGGTCACTTCTACTCAGACTACCCTTCTCTAAGTCTATCTGAGGCCATGGGTAAAAGAAGAGGGCTGAGAATTTCCTATTAATTATGACATATAGAATTGGAGGTAAAATGATTACTCAGAACAATTACTGAACATTTACTAGGGATATAGGAATGAATAAGACATCCAATGTAGGTTATATTTTAATACACACACACACAAAAGCACAACATGGTCAGTAAACCCACAGTCTAAGTGAAGAGAAAAGCACAAAAATGGATAGTTTCAATATAGTATGGTAAGTGTTAGAGAAACAATAATAGATACATGCAGAATGACGCAGGGGTTAGGAAAAGCTTCGGGAAGAGGTGACCCCCCCCACGCTGAATTTGAAGTAAGAATGAGTCAGGTGAGGAAAGCTAGAAATGGTGTTTCAGGCAGAGAGAACAACACATTCATAGGCCCATAGGCCCAGAGTAGCACCCTATGCCTGGAAATGGGCAGTTTGGTAGTGCAGAGATAGGATGGGGGGTGGGGTGCTGAAGTTTTGGAAGGTAAGTAGGAACCAGGTGTGGAGAGCAGCACGAGAAGTCAGGACCTTCCTAGGAGGTGACAGGAAGCTACCAAAGGGTTTACAAAGAAAGAGAAGTGATCACTGGTTAGGAAAGAAGCATTATGCTGAACTGGAGGAGGGTCAAAGTGAACAATACAGACCAGTGAGGGGGGTCGTGGCCCTGAGAGTGGGGTGGAATAGGGAGATGTCAGCACAACTGACAAGGACTGGAGGCTGGACATAAGGGGTGAGAGAGAGAAGTTAGGGCAGCACTCCAATACCTTGCTCGGGCTCCTGGGCAAAAGGGTCAGGAGTGCAGCAAGAGGGGCAGGTTTAGGAAACAATGGGAAGAGGGCAGTTTTGGATACATTGCAGTGCATGTGAAACATCCATATGACATTTACTGCAAGTTACTAGAGGTACCGGTTGAAAACTGCTGGTCAGGGTCAGATTCCATGGCTGCCCAAGGGTGGTTCCTGGGGCCAAGAGGTAACACCTACACCAACCCTGCCCCCACCCTCCTGCAAAGCCAGCAAAAGATCCCATCAAAGGCAGCAGAAACAGACCCAGGAATGTTTTTCTATAGCACTTTGGGGGTCACAGAGAACCCACAGAGGCTATCAGACTCAAGTGAGTCAAGGGCCTGAATTCGATATGGTGATACTGACCAATATAGCCAAGTTTTTCAAGGAATAATCTCATCTCTTAAATATACCCAAGATCTTGATTACCAAGCCAGTAAATGAAAAGGAGGAATTTGGAGACCACAGATTAAGGACTCTGGTTTTAATCACTATGCTAAATCAGTATGTTTTAATCAATATGACTCTCAGCTAAATGAGGTTTATCTTTCCTCACACAAGAGGAAAAGATTCCTGCACCAACACAAGGCTCTCTAGGATTTGCTACAGTTCTCATCCAAATGCCCCTGAGATCCCACATAGCAGTTTAGGAAATAATGTTTAAACAATGGCATTTAGAAACAAGGTTCCTTTTCACAGAGGCCAAAGATTACAACTATGGACTTTGGAATTTTGCAGACTCATCTCTTCCTTCAGGGAAAACACAACCTCAAGGAATAAAAGGGCTACAGTTCAGGAAAAAGATACTGTGGCCAGGATTTCTAAGGTAGAACACAGTTCCCTGATCCCCAAGATCACATGGTAAGCAACATCTACCACTATTAAGAGAGAAGACAAACTGCATGGGTGACCCAGGACAGCCACTTAGATGTCACTTCTTCCTGC